GTTTTACCTTAAAGCTGAACATTCCATTTAAAGTTGAAAACTCCATTCATCCAACTCGTTGTAACGGATATAGAATGAAAACCTTTATGCACCTAAGATCAAACGGCAACATCACCATTTTTTTTATTTACATTTCCAAAATAACAACGCGGCAATTGCACGTTGTTACAAGCCAATCAAATGCAAGTCGTGTTGAATATGAACATGATGCACACCTTGACAATAGTTTAGATAGATATGAACATGACTATTGCAATCCTAGCCAGTTATTTAGTTGCCCGTCTTTTGAGTGGGCTACGTAAGAAGTAAGCATATTCCCATCAGGAAACTGAAGTGTGAGGAAATTACAAACTGAGAAAAAAAAAAGTTCACTATTTGTCCAATTTCCATTTCAACATTAACAACTATTTGTCCAATTTCCATTACAACATTAACAACACAACACTTGAGAAAAACTGAAAAAGTCAACTCCGATGCACGTCGGGTTAAATATGAACATTACACATTCATAAACCACATCCACACAAAGAGATAACGCTACACAACAATTCACGTCTCCTTTTCTTTATCAGACAATGATTTCTTGAACCAAGGTATCCAAACGGACGTCGTTTTCTGATAAGTCCTATAAGCCTCGGCCCTGTACTCCTGCTTCAACATCCGATCCTCCACAAGAATCGTGACATAAGCCAAGCACAAGCTATTTATTAAAGCACCCATAAAACACCACCCGAGATCCAAATTCCATGCGAATAACGCTAGGCCCCACCACCATAACTGCTCGCCAAAATAGTTTGGATGCCGTGAGTACCACCACAAGCCCCTGTCAAGATTCGGCACCAATGGTTTGTCGAGGTTTTTAAGCTTTTCGTTCCTGGTGACAAATTCGTGAAGCTGTGTGTCGGCAAAATAGGCTATAGTAACACCAGTCAAGCAGATTAGTGTAGCAATCACATCCCATAGGTTCATTTGCCCGTCTTTCGAGTGGACTACGTACAGTGGCAAGCATATTCCCATCAAGAAAACCTGTCGTATTCGGAAAAAAAAAAGGAAAATGTATCAAGAAAAGAGAGTCCAAAAAACAAAACGAACTATCTATGAAAATCTGTAGCAGCATTAAAAGAACGGCAACTATTCTAGAGTTTTAGTTCGTTCAGGCATTTCATCGAACAGATGGCATCAAACAGAGTCAACCCAAGTCAACGCATGGGGAGCCAATAAACATCACCTGTTGAGAGAGGTAGACGGCGAAGAAAGAGGCCCACCACCAGTTTCCGCCGTACTGCCTCCGCATGTCGCTGAATCTCCAGTCCTCTCGGGCGCCCCACTGCCATTTTTCCCGGCGGAAGTAGCTGTGCGTGAGCCTCGCGGACCAAACCCACGTCAATAGAATCACGATCCTCGATCTCCAGGGATTACACTCCGCCAACGGATGGGACGCGAAGTAATGCACTAGCAGGACGGGTATCACCGTCCAGTACAGATCTATCATCTGCAATTCTACAATTACAAATTGAAACGCGAAATTCGAAATTGCTATAAGGCTAAAAAGTAAAAATCACGAACCCAGTGGCTTGACTGGAGCTGGCCGACGGCCCAGAAAAGGAGGTCGACGTTGAGGAAGAAGAGGGCGTTGGCCAGGAGAAATGGGTGGCGGCGGCACCACGACCAGAGAAGGGAGAGGGAATCTGCATCGGCGGCGGAGGTGAGGCGGAGGAAGGAGAGGTAGAAGAGAATGGAGGGAACAGGGGCGAGGAGTGCGATGGCGGCGTTTCGGAGGTTTTTGCTGCGAGTGTTGATGCTGAGTGATGCCATGGGCGATGGTGGGAGTTGAGAAGAAGCCGAGCTATGGAGGTCTGATTTTATAGGCCCGCCCTTCGTAGTAGTAATTTATTGCTTAATTAAAGCATCACGGCGTGTACTGATTTATCACTGTTATAAATATATGAATGTGGACATTACTAATATAGAATTGGGCCTGAAGTCCATTAGTTAGGAGAATTAGGTTTTAGGGCTTCCCACTTGTAAACCCTATATAAGGGTGATATACGATGAATAAAACATAGACTTTTCTGCTCTTCTGTCTCTTGTTCTCTCGCTTGTTTCTCTTTACTTTGTTTGGTGTGGATTGATGAATGCTTGAGGATCCCAATTTACAACACGTTATCAGCACGCTCTAGTTCGTTATTAGTGTTGCCCTAGGAAAAAATCGTGTTTTTCCTGCAAGGTATTTTCGAGATCCATTTATTTTTCTTAATTCGTACTAAATTCTATATCGTACAAATGAATTACGGCAATTGCCCGCTTGCTCTGTTTTTTTTTATTGCTTATTTTCTTCATTGGTGTTGCCCGCATGTCCTGCAAGGTGTTTTTATTGCTTATTCCATTTATTCGCATGATTGTTCCTCTTGTGAATGTTTTTTGGAAATTGCATCGTTGATTTGTTTTTGATTGGCCTGGTTGATGAATCTCGGCTTCTTTTCTTTTCTGTGTTTTTTTTAACTGAGATTAAGGATTTCTAATTCACTCGATATTTGAGTCGGGCTTGCAACTGTATAAAAGAAAATCTAGATTTATTTTGTTTGAACATGGCCATGGTAGATCAAATCTTTTAGGATATCATGTCTGTGCTTTCATTTTCAAATCATTATTCTGTGAACACCACTAGATTATGCACTAGAAAACATTTGGGAATTGTTACAGACTGAGATTTTAAACGTATGGGATTTCTTGGTTTGGCATGAATTTATCTAGTGGGTCATATGTGGAGTTTTTTGGATTGTCATTTTTTTTACGTATATATATTAGCTATGCGCCCAATAAGTGACAGAAAGTGAAAATAGCATTGTAATTGATAAGTTCTCATGGCATAGCTTCTTGTTTATTAAAATCCTGCACTATGTGACATTACGGCGTTTTTAACTGTTACGTTTTTACTTGATGAGATTATAGTAGCAGTATGTTTGACAGATAAAAAATATAAATGCTTCGTTTCATGGCTTTATTTTACCTTTTAAAGTTATCATTCATAATATCCTTCAAAAATCATATTAAGTTTAATTGAATAAATTGTAGAATCTGATGATGTCTTATATCACCAAAATTTGTGGTTCGTTTTTGCTTATTATACTATGATTTGATTGAGACTATTGTTATGTTTGCTTATAATATTTTACTTTTCTTTTAGTGTACCACAACCATTCATTAGTTTGCATCTAATGGAGAAAGAGGGCATTTTATGTCTGGTCGACAGTGCTACTACGCACACTATTTTAAAAGATAGGAAATTTTTTCAAACTTTAAATGAAAAGAAAGGGAGTGTTTCTACAATTGCTCATGATAAAATCATGATAGTCGGCTCCGGCAGAGCTTTATTTACTCTTCCTAAGGGTACTGAATTAATAATTAATGATGCGCTTTTGTACCCTGAATCGCAAAGAACACTCCTCAGTTTTAAAGATATTCGATCAAATGGTTTTCATCTTGAAACTAAGACTGAAAATAATATAGAGTATCTTCTTATGACTCATTCACAAGGAAGTCAAAAGAAAATTGTAGAAGAACTTCCCTCTTTCTCCTCAGGCTTATACCATACTTACATTCGACCCTCTATTAATCATGTTGCATTGAGCTTAAAATTTAAAGACCCAAATTTATTTAAATTATGGCATGAGCGATTGGGTCATCCTGGGCTTAGTATGATGCGTCGGATTATTTCTAACTCTATTGGGCATACCGTATCAAGCAGCAGTCTCCCTTCTTTTAATGAATTTATTTGTGATGCTTGTGCAAAGGGAAAATTGATATTAAAACCTTCACGTACTAAAGTTGGAATTGAATCTCCTATGTTTCTTCATCGGATTCAAGGTGATATATGTGGTCCTATTCATCCCACTTCGGGACCTTTTCGATATTTTATGGTCTTGATAGATGCTTCCACTCGATGGACATATGTGTGTTTATTATCCACTAGAAATCAGGCTTTTCCAAAGCTCCTTGCTAAAATTATTGAATTAAGAGCTCAATTTCCTGATTATCAAATTAAAACCATTAGAATGGATAATGCCGGCGAATTTACATCGAAAGCTTTTGATGATTATTGTATGTCATTGGGCATCAAAGTGGAGCATCCGGTACCTTATGTCCACACACAAAATGGTCTAGCCGAATCACTCATTAAGCGCATCAAATTAATTGCTCGACCATTGTTACAAAATTCCAACTTACCAATTTCATGTTGGGGACATGCAATTTTACATGCTGCTGCCCTAATTCAAATCCGACCAACTGCATATCATGATTACTCCCCTATACAACTAGTGCGTGGTAAAGAACCTAACATTTCCCATCTGCGAGTGTTTGGTTGTGCAGTCTATGTTCCTATATCACCACCGCAGCGTACCTCTATGGGCCCTCATAGAAAGCTAGGTATATATATTGGCTATGAATCTCCGTCTATTCTAAAATACCTAGAGCCCATGACTGGGGATCAATTTACAGCTCGGTACGCTGACTGCATATTCGATGAAGAGAATTTTCCGGCATTAGGGGGAGATAAAAGCCCAAACTTAAATAAATGCCGAGAAATTTCTTGGAACGAACCAAATCTACAATATTTAGATCCACGCACTAATCAAGCTGAACTTGAAGTTCAAAAGATAATTAATTTGCAATATTTAGCAAATAATCTGCCAGATGCATTTACTGATCATAAAGGAGTGACCAAATCTCATGTACCTTCGATAAATGCTCCACAACGAGTGGAAGTCCCCAAGAAATCTAATATTCCTGAAGATTCTCTACGCCAGAAGCGTGGGAGGCCCGTTGGTACAAAAGATAATAATCCGCGGAAAATAAAATTTAATAAAAATATTGAATCACTCCTGAAATCTCCAGAAGAGAATCGTCCAGAAGGCGAAAATCCTAGTTTAAATGCACGTGCAACAAATAATAAAACTACTAGGATTGCGGAACATCCAGATCATAATATATTGGGAAATGATGAAGATCTGGTTGATGTAAATATTGAAGTAGCTACGAATTTTGTTGATACAGGAGAAACTTATAATAGAAGTAACATAGTCGTCGACGACACATTTGCCTCTATAGTTGCCTTTACCATCTCTAATAATCTGGATCCAGAACCTAAATCAATTACAGAGTGCCGGAAGCGCTCCGATTGGGTAAGATGGAAGGAGGCAATTGAGGCCGAACTAGACTCGCTAAATAAACGAAAAGTTTTTGGCTCTATTGCGCGTACACCTCAAAATATTATCCCAGTAGGATATAAATGGGTGTTCGTACGAAAGAGAAATGAAAATAATGAGGTGGTGAGATACAAAGCGAGATTAGTTGCTCAAGGGTTTTCGCAGAGACCCGGTATTGATTTTGATCAAACATATTCTCCTGTAATGGATGGAATAACGTTCCGCTATTTGATATCCCTGGCAGTAACTATGAATTTAGATATGCAGTTAATGGATGTCGTGACCGCATACTTATATGGGTCATTAGACACTAATATATATATGAAAATCCCTGAAGGATTAAAGGTTCCCGAAATAAGGGAAAATGAAACACGCAACATGTATAGCATTAAATTACAAAGGTCATTATATGGCTTAAAGCAGTCGGGTAGAATGTGGTACAACCGGCTGAGTGAGTTTCTATTGAAAAATAATTATGTGAATAACGACGTGTGCCCCTGTGTGTTTATAAAGAAGTCATCGAATGGTTTTTGCATCATTTCAGTCTATGTTGATGACATAAATATAATTGGCACACGAGAGGAGCTTGATAAAGCTAGCTCATGCCTAAAGACGGAGTTTGAAATGAAAGATTTGGGTAAAACCAAATATTGCCTCGGCCTGCAGATCGAGCATCTCCCTGAAGGAATTTTTGTACACCAGTCAACCTACTTGAAGAAGGTTTTAGAAAAATTCTACATGGATAAATCTCATCCACTTAGCACACCAATGGTTGTCCGGTCCCTTGAAGCGGATAAGGATCCATTTAGACCTAAAGAAGATACCGAAGAAAATTTAGGACCAGAAGTTCCTTACTTGAGCGCCATTGGCGCATTACTTTATCTTGCAAATTGCACCAGGCCTGATATTGCATTTGCAGTAAACTTGCTAGCAAGGTTTAGTGCTTCTCCTACGAGGAGACACTGGAATGGTATTAAACATATTTTTAGGTATCTTCAAGGTTCACAAGATCTTGGTTTACTTTATAAGAAAAATCAAGATATAACATTGGTGGGCTATTCGGATGCTGGTTATATGTCTGATCCCCATAATGCTAGATCACAGACTGGTTATGTTTTTCTTTGTGGTGGTACTGCAATATCTTGGAAGTCAGTTAAGCAGTCCATGGTTACTACATCTTCAAACCACTCAGAAATAATTGCTTTATACGAGACTTCACGAGAATGTGTATGGTTAAGATCTTTAATCCAACATATTCGTGAGTCATGTGGAATTACAAATGATATAACCCCCACTGTCCTTTACGAGGATAATGCAGCTTGTGTTTTACAAATGAGTAGTGGGTACGTCAAAGGAAGCATGACAAAACACATTGCTCCAAAATTCTTTTACCCACACGAGCTCCAGAAGAGCGGTGAAATTATTGTACAAAAAGTACGATCTAGTGAGAATTTGGCAGATCTATTCACCAAGTCCCTTCCTACATCTACTTTTGAAAAATATATTTATGGTATTGGTATGCGTAAACTTGGAAGACTATTGTCTTCAGGGGGAGGGACAAACTCAAAATAATCCTGAAGATTAGGTCCTGAAGACCAAATGTTGTACTCTTTTTTCCTTAACTAAGTTTTTCCCATTGGGTTTATTAGTTAAAGGTTTTTGATGAGGCAGCTAGTAAAACACATGAATTTTTATAAATCATGTACTCTTTTCCTTGACTAATTTTTTTTCCCTTGGCGGGTTTTTAT